ATTTGCATTGCCATTTTTGGCGAAATAAACACATCAAAGCGAATTAACGACCGATGTGACGCCCTTGGCGCAGTTGGCGGAACTGGAGTGCTCTGTCTCTCCCTCTCTCTTTCTGCTGCTCCACCCAATCTTTCATGTGATCATTGCCGAACCGTGCAAAATGAAACGCAACGAATATGATGCGGATGCAAATGCGCTTTTATCGTGGCCGAGTGTGGAGTCGAGGAAACCGTTTGCATCCGCTGATGGTCGCTGCCGTTTGGTCTTGCAGAGAGCGGTCTGTGACCAGCCCCCAGTCATTACCTCGTTGGTCTTTGGTCTGTTGATTATTTTCGGGAGCAGTAGTGGTTTTGTGTGTGAGAGCCTGGGCTCAGGTCAGGCGCGACGTACCCCCGCCGTACCCCGCGCTCCGGCGCGCTCAGGCGCGGGGTGTCTCCGACACGCCTAGACTTGGGAGAGTTAGCAACCCCTCCGTCCATTCCAGGACACAGCGGTGTGAACCAGTTAGGGGGGGTGTTCGTCAGCGGCCGACCCCTGCCAGACCATACCCGGCAGAAGATCGTGGAGCTCGCCCACTCGGGCGCCCGACCTTGCGACATCTCCAGGATACTACAAGTGTCCAACGGCTGCGTCTCCAAGATCCTGGGCAGGTAAGTCTCACGTGTGCGTGTGTGTGTATGTTGTGTCACTCAGGACCTTCTCTCTACTTGGGTCTTGAAATTTATTTCAAGTTAGTTAACTCTAGTTTCAGTTTCAAATAGGGTAAGGAACTTGATTACTTATTACGATCAATCATGAAGTTATTTCCTCCTTCATGTAACTTACTTAATTTGAACTTACGGGGCTTGGGGGCTCGGGTCTGAAACCTTAGAACGTCGCCGAGAAAATGCGTTTCGCTCCACGCTATCTTTTCCCTGGTAATTTTTTCATATCTCTTTTTTACTTCATTCCACCCTCCATCAACCCTGTCATCGCAATTCGGGGGTAGAAAGAATGCGTGTTGGGAGGGCAGCAGGCGAAGGCGGTGGTGGCGGTGGGAGGCGGCCGA